CAAGCGACAGAAGGTGTTCCTCCCGATGGACGGTTGTGCGGAAAATATATTCGATCTCGACATGGTGTTGCGCTACCATAGAAAAAATTTCAAGTCCATCTATATGGCATCCACGAATGTGGCCAAGGCATTTGACTCGGTGTCTCATCGAGCAATATATGACACCCTAACATCGAGAGATATATCTAGGCCACTAGAGGCGTATATCGACGACGTCTATCAGAGAAGTACGACTAGACTGATGGGGTGTGATTGGCAGTCGGACTTGATTAGGCCCACATGTGGTGTTAACCCTTCGAGCGCTATGAACCCATATATGCGTTCTCACACAATCATTCGATTTTGGCTATGAATTCATATATGCGTTTTCGCATGACTATTCGATTTTGGCTAGGAACGCATATGTGGGTTCTCACGAAATCATTCAATCTAGGAAAAAGAAATCTATGAACAAATATATGTGACTGGTGCTTGTAACATATAAAAAAGACAATAAACATTTAAATGTGCGTTTGTGCAATCGTTTATCAGTATTGTTCATTAAATTTGTGTTTAATCTGTTCTTTGTGTTTTTATACTTCATTTTTAAATACCCCTAAAGTGTCCGAGAGTGAGTTTGAACCCATTAGTAACAGTGGTAGTGACATGATCTATGAACATGACATTGAAACAGTTGAAATTAAAACATTTGAAAGAAAAAGGATGTGGAATTCGTCTTCGGATTCCAACAAGATATATAAGAAAACCAAGAGATTAAAAATAAGCAGTGATACAAGCGGTAAATATCAACACAATAGGTTGAATGTTAGAACAAACATAATCAAACCTTCTTTTGTAACTTCGGAAACCGAAGAGACAGTTCCATTGTATAAGCAAAGGAGAAGACATCTAATGATACGGCAGAAAACTTTTCATGGTCTAAGAAAAAGGACCCCGCACAAATCTTATGGAAAACGGCTCCCGGTTAAGTTAGCTGATCTTTTGATATGATGTACTTCATGATGTCTTGATCAAATGTTCCAATGGGCTCAAGCTCGTAAATTGAACAGTTTCTGAGATACGGGGCATCAAAAGTCAATAATAGTGTCTTGTTCGAGACTACCACGTTTGAGCATATCTGACAACACGTTTGATCATATCTGAGTGTAAGAAGCACTGTTGCGCACTGTCCATTTACTTGACCCTTTAAAACTCAATGGTAGTACTGTGGGCCTTTAAGTATGACCCGTTGACCCACTGACCCTCTGACTCCCCTTCAGGTCTAAATAAAAAGTCGCCCAAAGGATTAAAAATGGTTCTCTTTTTCATTGTACAAACGTGAAGCACCGTGGGCATTAGAGTTACCCAGTGTGCGCTACGAGGAGGCTGCTCGATCGGATTTTGCACGCCATGTAGCCCTGAAAAGGGCCGTTTTTATAGTTCTCTCTATTCGTCCATAAGAATCTCAACATTCATATTGTCTTGATGCTCTCTGTTAGCGGCATCTTTCGTCGTATTTAAAAGACTGCTATCCAGATATTTGACATGCCTCTGATGACGAGCAAATCCTAAAAACCATAAAACACTTGCAATATGTGCGCATGTACCCAATGTTCTGGCACCGGATTGACAGGTGCAGTAGTAACCATTTATTACTTCCTCTTCTAGTTCCAGTTCATTTTCGGGAATGTAAGAAATAAAAACTTGATGTTTGGTACGATTCCGAAATCGTGAATAAACTCTTAGTTTTATACGGTTGTGTCGTCTACCAACGAAGTGTCAATCTGTAATTCATCGTCATCATCTCTTTGCAACTTATCTTGAATATAAGCTTGAATATGAAATATGTACTTAGATGAGTTTAGCGATACTACAAGAAACTTGGAACAATACCAAAGTTGTATTGTAAAATACTTTCAAGTATACATGAATTAGTAAAAAAAAGAATCGGTAATCTTTCCTTTCGGGTAGAAGAACAGGAAAATAAATATTGACTAAAAAGACGAAAAATTCAACCAGTGTGTAGTAGTCATTTATACTACGCAAACATTTCGTAGTTTAACTTCAGGATTTTTTAAAACTACAGATCAATATTTAGATACTTTAAGTGGCATCTTCTACAGTCTTTTCACTTGTCCTATTATTTTTTAACAAAGTAATGGCTCGGAAAAGTAGATGTTTTGTTTGTAATCTCTTGGGAAACACAAGGCAAAGGCCTCGAATAGGCGATGATGAAGCTAGACAAGAGATTGCAATATCGCACCGTGACGCTATGAACTTACCGAATATAGACATTCGAAATGACACTCGAATTTGTTTTAATTGCAACCAGTCTCTTACAAATGAACTTGGAATAATTAGAAATAACCCAACCTGTTTACGATTGAATATTGTAAAACAGAAGCATAATCGCGCCTGCATCTTTTGCGAAGTAGTCGATAATATAGTTCGTATATCTATGGAAAATACGGTCCACATCTTTATTAAAGGAAATATTTTTGTCCTCGATAGTGTTCGCTGTTATGCTCATCATCTCAATCATGATGGCCGCATTATTTTAGATCTCATACTAGGACTGACTTTCGTCAATCGACCTTATGTTATTCCAGGCCCTGAGTTACAAGTTTTTCTCGAACATCTTTGCAAAGAAGCAAACCATCAGAGGAGATTAGAAGATCTCGATAATCTTAACGATAAAGAATTCTCGTGCTTATTTTCTTTGAATAAAGAGCAGTTTCAAGATCTCTTCATGTTCTGTGATCCTGTTCCAGATCCATATGTCAGAAATATTTCAAAGAAAGATTTAATGACATTCTTATGCAAGTTAAGGCAAGGGTTATCAGATGAATTTTTAAGGGTAATTTTCATTTATCCAAGCAGACGAGCTACTAGTATAGCGATAAGTAATGTCAGAAAATCATTAGAAGGAAGATTTGTTCTTGAAAACATTGGCGTTGGGGCTATTAGTAGAGAGGAGTTTATTAATCGCCATATAACACCTAGCATTCCAAAAGGCATTGTTATATGTGATTCGACCTATGCTTATATTCACAAGAGTAGCAACTTTCGTGTCTTGAGACAATCTTACTCCCTTCACAAAGGAAGACATTTATTAAAGTCGACCATCAGATGAATATATTTTATCCATTTTGGGTCTGTATTTCTCAGATTCATATAACAATGATGCCTCAATACTCGTTAATAAATAACTGGTTCGTAACTGGTTCCAGAATGACGATATTTTTCTCATCAATAGAGGGTATAGAGATTGTACGCCTTTTTTAACGCGCAAAACGAGTGGACCGGAATTGAAAAACTGTTCGAGAAATGTCTAAAAACTGGTGAGTCGCATAGAGTCGACATTGCAGCCGTCGACATATGCGAATGAAGGAGGGATGAGGCGGTGAGTATGAATACAAATCAAAGAGAAATGGTACAGAGCATTTTAGTAAAAAACGAGGACCTTTTCAGAACAGAAGGACCACTGACGACCGAGGCAGTTCACAGAATAAATACAGGGCACCATCCACCTATCGCAGTACCACCCTACCGCCTACCACCAGCGAAGAGGGAGATGTTGCGAGAAGAACTGCGAAAGATGATGGACTGCGACGTCATCGAGGAGTGCGACTCTCCTTGGGCTGCACCCGTGGTACTAGTACCAAAGAAGACTGGAGGAATCAGAGTATGTGTGGACTATCGACGCTTAAATGCAGTCACCGTCAGCGACTGCTACCCCCTGCCACGGATTGATGACCTACTGGCAGATCGGAGTATCTGGCAGATCAGAGTCCGACCGAAAGACCAGGAGAAAACGGCATTTACCACCCCGTTTGGTCTTTACCAATTCAAGCATATGCCGTTTGGGCTGAAGAATGCCCCGACGACCTTCCAGCGTCTCATGGACCGCCTGAAAACATCGCTGCGAACGCGGAACGTACTGATTTACCTGGACGATCTACTAGTCCTATCGTCCACGTTCGAGGAACACCTGCAAGATTTTGAAGCTGTTTTCAACAGGCTCCGGAAATTCGGCCTGCGAATGAATCGAGAGAAATGCCGATTCTGCTGTCAAAATATTAAATACCTAGGACATGTTCTCACGTCGAAAGGCATACAACCCGATCCAGACAAAACCAAGGCCATTCAGGACATGAAACCACCGAAAAACCTGAAACAATTAATATCATTTTTGCAGACGTGTTCCTGGTACAGACGTTTCGTCCCCAATTTTGCCAGTGTTGCAGAACCACTGACCCGAAAGAAGGCCACGTGGGAATGGACTCCTCGGCAACAACAGGCGTTTGACAACCTAAAAGGAGCCCTCACGAGTTCACCAATTTTGCAGACTGCGGATGAAACGAAACCGTACACGCTTCGGACGGATGCGAGCGGTTACGCAATTGGCACAGTCCTTCTACAGGGGCAGAAGGAAACGGAGCATCCAGTAGAATATGCCAGCCGACTATTGACATCAGCCGAGCGCAACTACTCGACCACTGAACGGGTGGCTCTCGTCGTCGTCTGGGCAGTAGATAAGTTCCGAGGCTACATCGAGGGTGCTGAAGTGACTATAGCTTCCGACTATCAACCCCTAAAATGGTTGATATCCCCGAAGTCACCGAGCGGACGACTTGCACGATGGGCATTATTCCTGCAGCCGTACTGTCTAAACATACAGTACATTCCTGGGCGATGCAACGTGGTAGCAGACATACTCTCGAGATTGCCAACGGAGCCTTGGGACGACCAGGAAAGGGCTGACATCGGAGGCGTTGCAGTGGACCTGCCAAGCCGAGGAAGCGCCATGATGAGGGAACAACAGCTCAAAGATGAAGACCTGAGAACGATCATCGAGGCGTTGGAGTCTACTGGAGACGACAACGAGCCAAGCAGATGAACATCTCAGAGTTATTTCGTCAGCGAAGGGGTATTACACCGATACTCCCCCAATGCTGATACCGAAGAGGCGCAGCTAGTCATCCCAGCACACGAGAGCAAGGATATTTTAAAATCCTACCATGACAACCCAACAGCTGGACACTACGGGACTCAGCACACACTGCATAGGATCATCAACCGATACTATTGGCCAGGAATGGCCAGGGAAGTTGCCGAGTACGTCCGGTCCTGCATCGAGTGTCAGCGTTACAAAAGCAGTAACCAGAAACCAGCTGGTCTGATTCAAACTCTCGTGATGCAACGACGATTCGAGGCACTGGCTGTGGACCTTTTCGGGTCTCTGCCTGCTATATCGAGAGACAACCGATGAATCCTGATCATCGAAGACACCGCATCTCGATGGATAGAACTCTTCCCATTGCAACAGGCAACATCTGAGACGTGTGCAGACACCCTAATCAAGGAAGTATTCTTGAGGTTTGGACTGCCGAGACGACTGATCAGCGACAACGGAACGCAGTTCATCAACGGGGTAATGCAGCAGGTAGCCCATTGCCTCGGAATCCAACAGGCTTTCACACCAGTGTATTATCCCGAGGCCAATCCAATGCAAAGGAAGAACCGAGATCTCAAGGCACAACTTGGGATTTACGTCGGAAACAACCATACGACCTGGGACGATCAACTTCCTACCATCCGTTTAGTCATGAATTCGGCAAAATGCGAGACCACTGGGCATTCAGCGGCGTACCAGACTTTTGAAAGAGAACTGCGAACCGTTGACGACACCAATCGAGACCTCAAGCAGATCGTAGAAGCCGAAAATTTCCTTCCGGAAATTACTCCTAAACTTCTTGATTTAGCTAACACTTTGCGTGTCGCTCAGCAGGTGCAGGAGGATCAGCAGGATCGGCGTAAGCGATACGCTGACCAACGACGACGCGAGGGACCAGAGTACCAGCCTGATGACCTCGTCTGGGTAGCCACCCACACATTGAGCAAGCGGCAACAGCGATATTCGTCAAAGCTGGTGCCGAGACAGGATGGTCCATACGTCGTCAGGAGGCGAGTTGGTGCATGCAGCTACGAGTTGCAGACCAGGGAAGCTGAGCCAGTGATAGTTGAGGTCTATCACACCTCAGCCCTTAAACAATACACTGGAATACGAGATGGAGTACCTGCACCAGTCGTGCCGATCCGGAAACGTGGACGACCACGGAAAAGGAGGAGAGCAGATGAACCTGGACCGAGCACTGCCAATGATGACTTCGCAGCCTAAGATCCTGGACATCTCATCGGTGCGATTTCGTGTCCAGAGCAAGAGCATTTTACACCCGATAGAGAAATATCAATCGAGGGGCCTATGTTAAATTTAAGGGCAAAGTTAGTTTTATAACATATAATCCTAAAAAGCCCACCAAATGGGGAATCCGTGTTTATGTGTTGTCAGGCGCACATACAGGATACATATATGCTATGCTTCCCTACTACGGAAGCGTTAGTACAGAATGTCTCGTCCGTCCAGACCTCCCTATCAATTCAAGGATTGTGTTACAATTATATCACAAGATCTTAACCGCAAATCCTCAGGTGAAAGGATACCATATCTTTACAGATAGATACTTTACAAGGATCCCATTAGCACAGGAGCTTCTAAAACAAGGCTTGAACAAGACAAAATATATACCAGCAATGATAAAAAAACCAGCTGTAATAAAAAGTAATACCGTTGCTGCCTGTCGATATTCTATTATTGGCGTGGAAAGATAAGAGAATAGTCACCATGTTAAGCAGCTTCTATTCCTGGGGCACGACAACTATAGAAAGAAGGTTGAAACAAGGTGCGACCGTCGACATAAAGAAACTCAATGTTATTATAAATTATAATATAAATATGGGAGGTGTTGACAGGGCAGACCAATTAGCGAGTTTATATTGTTTCATGAGAAAATCTTGCAAATGATGGAGAAAGATTTTTTTCTGGGAACTAGAAGTTTGCGCAATCAATAGTTACGTTTTATATAAGGTGACAGCTAGAAGAGATAACAGGACGCCCATGTCACATTTCATGTTCGTCCGAAAATTGGTGGAACAACTTGTGGGTGATTTTCGTGATGGAGCATCATCAAAGCCAGGAAAACCATCGACCTCAGATAAAGACGAAAGGCTGAACGGAAAACTGCACATATTGCGGCATTGTGAAGACGTAAAAGTAAAGATTGTGCTGTATGTTCCAATAGAAAGATTAAGGGCAGAAGACGTCAAACAAATTATTTTTGCGATACATGCAATCGAAAATCAGGACTGCATATTGGAAACTGTTTTGAAAAATTCCATACAATGAAGAACTATAAAATATAATTTTTACATGAAAACATGACATTAAAACATATTATTGTATGAAATATAACTAAAGTTATCAAAAGAATTAATAAATCTTGTTCATTTTTCATAATCAAGCATGTAATGTATCACTGGCTCTTTCAACGGAAATTAATTCCGACCAGTACGACACCCATGACCAAATTTAACGCATCCGAAAAGAGTTAAATTTTGTCATTGCGCTAGCTTCGTAAAAGAGAATCAAATCATAGACATTTAGAGTATCAAATTAAGTTAATTTTATAAAAGCGTAGTTAACTTTATCCAAGAATCAGACTTAACGATTTATCATAAAGTATTAACTAACGAGTTTCATTTTGTTAGATTCACAATCATCTATTATGTACTATTTAATTTGTCGAGTTTCTATTATTATTATTATTCAATCAAAGTCTATTTAGTTACTTTTGATCAAGCCAATATACTTTTCATATTTTGTTGTTATTTGTTATCTGTTATCTGTTAAATTCATCATTTTCATTGTTTTATTGAATAAACCTAATTGTTGAAAGATGTTGACTTGTAGATTTCACTCCTTTACCGCACACCACACGAATTCCACATTCTTTAGATTTAGTTATTTGCGAAAAACGAGTCATTCAGTAGGTAAAAACCGCTCTTTACCTCACGAGCGCTATTAACATCTGAGCCTAGTTCCAGAATCGTTGCACATGCTTCCAGCCTACGGCCGTATCTACGGGCAGAAGAAACGGCGATGGAATGTGACAAAGAGGGGCTTAGAATTCCGGCAAAACCCCTCCCGAAGGAGACTGAATATACAGTTACTGGATTTAATATTCGGCCACTATGGTATTTGCGAAATTAAAGCTTTATGTACTTACTTGCAATGTGATTATCAAATTTTCTGATCCGTAATGAGTTAAAGCACATATTCTAGTTTACAAATATGTAAAATTAAATACTTTATTTTTTATTGTTTTCTACATAATAAATGATAAATGAAATTAGACCCGATATTGGTGTCGAAAAAATATTCGGACACTTAATATTACATAAAGTTTTTTCTTATTTGGAGTGTATGTAACAACAAACATATAATTTTAATATTAATTTAATATTTTTTGGGACATCCCTTTTGTCTAATGACGTGTTGCAGACATGTTGACATGTTTGAAATTATTTTATTTAAATAATTTTGAGTAATGCGTTTCCACTCTTCCGTCAGTCGTATTTTTAATTCGTCTTTTGTTTTTATAGGGGTGGTCTTGACATTACGATCCAATAAGTCCCATAGATTTTCAATTGGATTTAAATGTGGTAATTGTGGTGGAGAATAGAGCACTTTCGGACAAGCATATAATAAATATTCCTAAACTATTCTCGATTTGTATTTCGGATCGTTATCCTGGTAGAACCTAAAACTGTCGCGTATACCCATATTCGTTGCATTTTTTAATAAATTTTTTATTAATGTGTCTAAATATTTGTTCTTGTCCATAATATGTTCAATAAGAACCAGCCTCCCTACTCCAACACTAAAAATGCAGCCCCATACCATCAAGTCTCCACCACCGTGTTTCAGAACTTCTAGTCTACTCGAAAATTCGCGATGTCTCGCGGTCGCCCTCCCGCACCGCACCACTCTCCCCGAGGCCTACGAGGCAGGAAGTCCACAAATGGAAGGGAAGCGCGTCGTTATACGTTTCTATATCCGTAAATAAAAAGAAATTATATGTAATAGTGCATGCGATAGTACATAATACTGGAACTATTATGGATAATATCACCTAACCGAACCCATATTAAAAGTGTTACAAAAAATAAAATAAAAAACATATAACCTGAAAAAACTAAAGGTTTTACACAAGCGTGGATTCGCTCCTGCGTCTACAAACACCCATCGATTACGAGGCTAAAGTCCTACCGTTTTCGCCAATAATGCTGTTGCAGTATTATTTTACGTTTATGAATATAAGCAGATACAACGTAAAATTAATAAATGCGGTTTTTCAATTTTTACAACTACAATTTTTAACGTAAAAATCTGGAGAAATTCTTTAATATACGCTATGTGCGTCTCAATGTTTTAGAATTTTTTCAGAATTTTTGTACGAGATTAAAGAAGTAAATTAGGCCAAAAACCGAAATTTCGTTTTTTCCCTTTTACTACCCTCATGGTTGAGATAGGAGGTTAAAACTTGTTGTGAGATGTCTTTTTTCGATTGGGTTCAAGAAAATGGGGTACCCTCCGATTCAACTGATTTAACTCCCATCCCTCTGCCCGCTAGAAGCCAAAAACTGAAACGGTCCAAAAAGTGATTTTTCCACATATCTCAGCGAGTTTATCATTTCCATCCCTTTTTTTTTTTGATAATCAGATTTGGTTAGGTTATATCGTATGGGGTGGGGGTGCTAAGCCCCTCCCCCGCCAATATGTTTAGATTTTTAACTGTATTTATATTTCTTGCCTGGTGAGTGTACATGCTTGGATTGCGCTCGCGTTGGCCCATATACAAAGTAAGCAGTGTTTATGCTATTACTTTTTTTGAATTCCATTGAGGATTATGCTGTCTGAGAATTTCGTGCGCTTCAGAAAGCGACGAACGAAGAAAGGGATCTTGTATACCAGCGGTACCGAGATCTCCTGAAGAAAGATCTAAGTGTGTGGAGTTTTACAATTACGATTACGAATACCGAACAAGCGTGGGATGCTTGGCTGGCGTGGGGGATTATTCCCGATAAACGAACGTGCCGCTGCGGAAAGAACATGCGTCCAAGCCGATACCAAGCGGTCTATTGGGTTCAGATGGCGGTGTGTTTCAAAGAAGTGCCCCAAAAAATCCGCCCGCGAAGGCACCTTATTTAAGGCTGCACATATCTGCCCGCTACAAACCGCCAGGCTATTAATTCATTTTATTGTGCATGATAAATTGCGGTACGCCGCCGCCTCTGCCGGATTGTCGGGAAGTAGTGTTGTCGACTGGTACAATTTCTTCCGGGAAGTGACAGACATTGTACAGGACCATGATTCACGTCCCATCGGGAGCAGCGATGATATAATTGAGGTGGATGAGAGCTGGCTGTTCACTAGGAAGTACCAAAGTGTTTTGGCATTCACACGGAGGCAGGTGTGGTCATTCGGTGCCATCAGCCGCGCCACCAATGATATGTGGGTGGAGGTCATTAAGAATAAGAGACGGACCACCCTAGATGCTATCATGCGGGCCCGGATTGCGCCAAACTCATGGGTTATGTCCGATGAACATCGGTCCTTCTAGGGGGCAGAGCGGTGGGAGTTAAGGGGTGGGATAACCACCGTTGAAATCGCCAAGTCAAGGGCTTTCTTTTTAAATATAAATCAGTTAAATCGGAGGGTACCCCATTTTCTTGAACTTAACCAAAATATCTACTACATAAAACAGTAGAAAAATTAGGAGGTCGTGGACGCAAACGGTGTACCACGATACGAAAAGATCGTCAAATTGTACGTAAATGCCGACAGAATCCAGCGACTACATCAAGATCTATTGCAGAAATGGTGGGATTGAAAGTTTCAACGAAAACAATAAAACGAAGACTGCATAAAGCTGGATTAAGATGTTGCAAAGCTAGACGTAAACCACATATCAGTAGACTTAATATGAGAAAACGTTTAGCACTTGCAAAAAAATATGTGAATATGCCGCTATCATTTTGGCAAAACATAGTTTGGAGTGACGAAAGTAAATTTGAATTGCGGCAACTAAACAAGAAGCACCAAGTCTGGCGAAAACGAAATGAAGCATACAAAAAACAATTTATCACACCCACAGTTAAATTTGGCGGCGGATCGTTAATAGTATGGGGGTGCTTTTCATGGAATGGAATTGGTACATTAGTACAAATTGATGGCATTATGAACGCAGACAAGTACATTGATATTCTAAATGAAAATTTAGAAGAAGCGGTAATAAAAATGGGTTGCGACGACGATTTTGTCTTCCATCAAGACAATGATCCCAAACACATTGCAAAGAAAACGACAAAATTTTTTAAGGATTCCAATATTAAATTACTTGAATGGCTCGCTCAGAATAAGGATTCTAATATTAAATTACTTGAATAGCTCGCTCAGAGCCCTGACTTGAATCCTATAGAAAATCTATGGAGTTTACTTGACACCAAAGTTGCATTGGACCAGCGAAATAAAAAGGACGAATTCGTCAAAACGTTACGCTCTGAATTTGAAAAAATAAACAAAGATTATATTGAAAATTTAATAAAAAGTATTCCGCGACGTCTGGAAGCCGTAATAAAAGCAAAAGGCGGCAATACCAAGTATTAATTTCATTGTGTATTTCATGCAGTACGTATTTTATTAAGTGTCCACTTATTTTTGTCTCCTGATAAATGGTTATCAAATTCATTAAGTATGGCGTATCTGCAGAAAGATACAAATATGAACGTTACTTTTTCATTGAATAATGTATATAGTATAAAGATATACAGGGTGTCCCGCAATTACCGGGACACGGTAATAACCGAAAAGGGGTGGTAGGTGGAGCAATTCTGAACAACTTTCCCTTTGCCAAAATATTGGTTAAGGCTCCATTTTCGAGTTATTAGCAAAAAACACTGACCTTCTTTTAAAGGTGTTAAAGTTTTTGTTAAATAATAAAAGTGTTTTGCAAAAATCCAATACAAAACAGTGCAATACCATTCATTCCATTTTAATTTCTACAATATTAAATACGTGTATTCTAGAGCGGGAGTGTGGGTACGATAGGCGGTTACTCAGGAATCGCTCCGAAATGTGCAACTAATTACGAGCTCTGCTTTATAGGGAAGGAAAGGGTTGAAAGTGCTTTTAGTTATTTGCGGTTTATCAGCGTCCAGAAACTCGATAGATAGCATAATCTATGAGTACAATTGCAGAATGCAATTGTCAACCATCGGTACTGCACTTTACAGTATAGTGCGACGCCGGACTGTTACAACCTCTGTATTACATTCTAAAACAGTTCTTGTTAAGACATCAAGGGGACAACTTTATGATACAGCCAAATATTCGTAGAGTCATTTGTAACCGTTAGTTTTTTCCTCTTTATAAGTTTCAGCAGGCCGGCCTGCAGTCAGTATGCGGCACATAAGGTCACTTAGAAATTTAGCTATTGTTCAGTTTTTTGCTTCAGCCCGGGTATCATAAAGTCGTATTCCAGAGGGTTCCTTAGAATTTCAGAAATTAGTGTCCCCAGGGATCTTGACCTGACGGAATTTCCCCGATGTTGCCAAACATGCGTTGACGGCAGTGACCAGCCTATCACCCCCGCTCCAGGGATGTACCGCGCTTTGAGCGCACTGGAAGCGGATGACACGGTATTGGTCACCTTAATTTTAAGGAATAGCAAAACTTAGAGTTAGGGCCCACCCTCTTTTTAGGAGAAAGAGGTGGAGTGCGAAACCGACTTGACGACGAAGCGGATGTCGTCAGGAAAAATCAGATCTTCAACAACTTGTATTAGTAACAGTTCAATTCAGCAACTCCTGTATCAGTTCATCAGTTTTCAACTTAGATTATATCAGCTCAGTAAAACACACACTTAATTTTTTTATTCCCGAATCAGTCGGGTGGTCCTTCGGAGTTAGACGGCACGAAGTGTAATACTCAAAACTCAGAGATTCAGACTCTGGGTTTAACAGTTCTCTTTCGCTTTTTCGAGCGCTCTCTTTCCTCTATTATGAATGAGGGTTCCCTAATGACCCTAATGGGCATACCCCTGTTATACCGGCTGTCTATGTACTCCGGTAACATGCATTGCATGTAAAATTGAATTAATTTTGGCTCCATTTCGAATTGCCAAAATGCGTCGTCTCTTTGGACGACAGTGTATTTTATCCCTTTCGGGGTCCAAATACAAAAGTAATATTAATTTATTCATTCTCCATGAATACATGATAAACGAATAATTGAACATTATTTATAATTGTGCTGTTCATTACTTAACTGAGATTTGCCACAAGGGCTTTTAATTAAACGTTTACAGTGTCTCGAAATGGATGAACTATATTGTTTTGACACTTGATCATGATGATGCTCGGCTGCTAGGCTCGAACCTTTTGCTCTCACTTCAGGGCGCGCGTAATCGTCGCGCTCTGATTGTTTCCTGTTTTTCGTTAATAAAAAAAAACGAAGCCTTAAACCCCACTTTTGCGAAGAAGAATCTTATTCAGAATTACATCCTCTATCACCCCTTTAGGGGAATTACACGAGTTGTGAGACACCCTGTATGTGTGTGGATGATCGGGACTCGCCATCGGTCGCGATAATCGTTTGTTCGTCATTAGAAGCCGAGCCATGGCAGAATCAACATCATCTAACAAGGTATGTATAACATTATGAATATAACAAATTAATATTATTACATGATAGTAATTACGGAAAAAAATAAATAAATCGTTTTATATGCAGATGGAAATTGCAGAAGAACACGGGGAGGTTAACACTTTGACTGCCACTGCGAAGTCATATGTTTTTCCCAAGACGCCACGGCATTTGTTTAGCGTGTATCTTACTGATGGTCACCGGTGACCACCGTGGCGCCTTAGTAACGGTTGATAAGGACATATTAGAATACGCCTTCATTTATTATAAAAAGCATTCACATTTGTTATTTTGTCGTAAACGGAATGTCCAGACTTAGTAAAGCGTGCAAATGATAAGCAGTGTTTTTTCATTCTATATAGAATAATAAGGTATGTGCGCACTTATAACATCAATTATATGATTATAAAGCAGCATTTCCGTTTATTTTCTGAGGTGTGTTTATGATAGTATTTGTAGATTACCCCTCAAAAATATGGATACAAACAGTGAATATATTACGAGCGTATCCGATGAGTCTTCATCGGACGACGAAATAATTCATATATCATCCACGATAAGGCGGCGGCAAATTCAATCGGATACCGAAAATGAAACAGATCTCGAAAATGAAGATGAGTGTAATATAGATGATCACGAATGGTCACGTAATGTAACACGAACGGAGAGAAATGTAATTTCATTTGTGAAATCCACAACTGCTCTACATATCGAGGGTAATATGGCAATTAACTTTTACTCTGCTTTTGTTACGGAAGAAATTCTGCAATTAATTGTTGATGAGACCAATAGATACGCTGAACAATATATGCAAAATAGGAGATCCTCCCGTTTAGATAAATGGACTCCAACCGATAAGAATGAAGTAAAACGCTTTTTCGGGCTCTTGATATGGATGGGCCTGGTGAAATTACCAAAATATGACGCATATTGGTGTACCAGTCAAACCTACTGCCAATCATTTCCGAGAACAGTTATGTCGAGAAATAGGTTCGAGTTGCTGCTACGATTCCTTCACTTTACCGACAATCAAACAGCAAACGTAGAAGATAGGTTGTATAAGATAAGACAACTTGTTAACATAC